TTTTGTTATAAAAAAACATACTAACTACACAATATTTATAGGTTAGTATTAGTAGAATTTTTGGTGCGAGGGATCATTGAAAAGAGTTAAATTTTGAATTATGCTTTTAAGGTATTATAAAAAACTTATTAGTTTAAATTAATATTTATTTCAATTAGATAAAAAAAAATATACCTATTTCCTGCAATTGATTAAGAAAATTATATTCTTGATGAATTGCACTTACTTTTACATATATTAGATATTTTAATGGAATATTTTTTTACTAATTTATTCAAAAAAAAAGTATTTGAAAAACAAGTTAAATTACAATTAAAGCAATATTTAAAGATCTTGCAATTGTATTTGAATTTTTTAAATCTATAGATAACAAATAGAATTGGACTTTATTGATAGGTTTAGATAAAAAAAAAACTAAAAAGCTTTTTAGTATCACAATTTATTTCTGGTACACAAAGACAAGATATTGAACAATTGTAATATAAATTTTATTGATAATATAGTATTTTATAACAACTACAACTTTCTGATTAAGAAATCTATTAGTATAAAGTTGATGTAAAAAACTAGGTTGAACCTTTTGCCATCTATCTCAAAGTGATATAAATTCTTTACAAAAATTTGAACTCTATTGAAAGGCAGATATTATATCATATATGCAAGTATTTGCAAAACACCTACTTATATTTATATAGCAATTAACATCAAAAGGTTTCTCTTTGTGAATTTTTTTTACCTTAGCTATAGAAAAAAAAATCATAAGCAGGTAAATAAACTTTGAATAAAATTATCTTTATAAAATATTTTAATAATTTTATTTTAGGTTTAATTGTTTTTTGGAGGTATTACTATAAGAGGGAGAAGCAAAAAAATAACTGTTGTAAATAATATAATATTTTATAAAAATTGACAACTTTTTTATTTAATTAATAATACCTCTACAGAAATTACTATTTGAAATATTCATATTAACAATAAGGAAAATTTATTAAATTAAATAAAGTAAATAGTTTCTTTGTATAAATTTTACATATATAATTTAAAATGCAATCTTTATTAATACTTGTTATATAATCTTAATAGTTATATAATTTATGTGTGTTAAATATTTATTAATTCATCAATGTTTTAATTATTTAGCATTGAACAATATTTTAATTCATCAAAAAAAAATTAAATATTGCAAATTTTAGACTATTAGATAAAGAAACATCTATAACATCAAACTCAATTGCTTATAGAATGCTGATATATTTCAAACTTTTTTATTCTTTATATATATAATGAAATCCAACTTTTATAGCTTTGAAGTAATTCTTTAGGAAATTTCAAGCAGAAAACTACTGTTTCAAAGCTTTGAGTCCTTTGCTTTCAGATATATCAAAGAAATAAAAAAAGATAATAGAAAGTACACAATTTTAATATTCTAAATTTTACAATGTTAGGATAATAATTCTACTAATTATACAGAACAATTCATATTAACTTTAAATCATTATTCTATTAGGCACTTGTCAAGATACAATTTTTCTAAGTTATCAGAACAATACAAAGGTATATGTAATTTGATTAAAATTATAATATTCTATTTAATACAATTAATTCAAACTTTATAAAGAAATTTTTAAAAGCAATTAGTATAGTATTAAAAATTAAAAAATTATTTTAACCTGGAATCTTTATTATCCCTTAAACTGTAGACAATTCCAGGCAAATTTGCCTGAAAAATTGCTATAAATTTGTTTATGATTTACTTTTTTTAAAATTTAAAATATTTAAATAAAATTTTTTTTGATAATATTTGAAAATAAGGATTATATTATAGTAGTATCTAGGGGATAGTAAAATTAATGGGGGGCCAATTTGATATTATACAACTTGGTTTATAATTATTATAACTGATGTCATCCGCTATGGTTATACAAGAAAATTTATATATAAAGAATTGAAAATTTTTGGCATCGAATACTTGTTAAACATTAAAAAGTTACCGATTCTAAAAGTAAGTAATATTTATGTAAGTTACAAGCTAATAAGTTATTTTTATCTGAAATAGAAGCTTTTAACAACTTATAGATTCAATTTTGTAGCAAATACAGTCAGATCTCTTTAAGTGTGCCCTCTATAAGTGCATACCATCTCAATATACACTCAAGTGTCAGCCCAAATATATACTTGACCTCATAAATGCACTTTTTCTTATTCTCTCTATGCACGTTATTAAAATGTGGTTTCACAGATATACACTTAGAGAGGTCTGACTGTATATAGAATTAACATTCTTTAGAACATTACGAATAAAAGTATGATTATATTGGGTATGTAAAAAATTTTGATTCTTCACTATATTCGCTATTATGTATTTAATTTTATACATATATTTATTTATTTGTTTTTGTATTTATATATATATTAGTATAAATATTAATAAAATAATCATAAAGAGTATGTAACGATTAAAAAAAGTATATATTCAGGAACTTTTTATTCATCCCATATATGTAATGAAAAAACAAAGCATCATAGTATAACTCGTGCAAAAGTAAAAGTTGCTATTGAGCTTGAATTAAGAGAAAAGAGGCTAAGGGAGGCTTCTGCGCATGGTAATTGTAATATCGGTACCAGTAGCTTTGCTTGCTTTATTTTAGAAATCAGAGATCATTGATCTCAATCAGTTTTGCCATAGTACTATCTTCAGAACTTTATTAATTCATTTAATAATTTCTTTCATGCAGTTATTAAATTACTTTCTACTTTTACTCCGCAGCCTGATATTAACAGTGCAGACAAGAAAAGCTTTATATTTCACTTGTGCTGGTTGACATAATGATTGTATCAAACTATTAATTGAACATGGCGCAAATGTTAATGCGGAAGCAGACATTGCCAGAAATAAACCTTTACATTTGGGTAATAATCATCAACTCTTGTTCTTTTGTTTAATTATTATCAAATACAATAATTGCAATTTCTTATAAACCTTTATATTAGCTGTCATTTCCAATAAAATGGATTGCATTATAACGTTATTAGAAACAGGTAAAAGACAACTGACATTATTATTATTTTATTGTGCTTTAATTGGCTTGTCATGTCATTTTTAATATAATAATTATAGATGCAAAAATAAATATGAATAATGCATTTTATCGTACACTGTCTTTATCAGTCGCAAGATCGTGCCTTAATATTTTAATAAAGAATATTGAATCTGCTAATGTAGATGTTGAAGAAATGGTCGAAGATAATGAACATATACCCGAAAATCGGGAAATCTTTGTGCAGGTTTTACAGGTAACAATATGTTATATATTAATATGGGAGATGAATATAATTATCATTAATGATAATATTTCAAACTTCATTTTATTCTTCCATTTTATGGTATGCAGATTATCAAAATTCTACGACATTATTTATCAATAGAAAATAGAGAATATAATAGTATTCAAGATATAAGGAACAATACTGAAATTATGGGTTCAGCCGATACTTCTTTTACGACTAGAAACGAGCCTATGACAATTTCTAATACAGGATCAGCAACAAGCGCTATGGAGGCCTTAGACGATTTAACCTCTCAATTGTCACAAATGGCCATTTCAACTTCAAAGTTTGAAAACGCAAATAGTAACAACACTATAAAAAGTTCGTCAGTGAATCAATATACATTACCTGATTCGATTGTCTTGAACAAGGTCCAAAATGTTTTGGATAACATAATTAAATACCAGACATAAAATTTGAGCGGCTTTAAAAAAATCAAGTGCCCTTAACGATCATGTTTATCATCATTCTACTCAATTTCAAAGTCGAATATAATATGTTGAGAATTATATACGTTATTCTTTCGTGTAATACATATCTAAAAGTAGATGTAAAAATCTGAAAACAACATAAAATCCTGCTATTAGGCGTGTTATTCCAAAATAAAGATTTATGGCCTTTGTCCACTATTACTTATTGTTTGACCCAGTAAAGTTTTAAAATCAGCACACTTTTTTCATATAAGATTGTTGCAAAGCATATCCAAAAATTGACTATGTGGCCATGCGGCTATGGGTCTTATTTTTATAAGTATATATATAGCGTGGGTGACAGCAATGCAAAAAATGACGGTACTGCAAAATACTAAATCATTGAACCTAGGGTGCCGCACAAAAAAAATGCGCGGCAGATCCTCGATTTTGATTGGCTAAGAGAGACGATCAAAAAATTAGGCCGGAATTACTCAATTATAAGCCTAGTGTTCCGCAGAACCGAACCGAAGAACCGGAACCGACCCCCGGTTCGGTTCCGGGTACATAATTTTTAGAATAATTCGGTTCCGGGTCTCGATTCATACCCGAACCGTAATACCCGAACCTATAGTCTAATATCGTGTAACAAAAAAATCTAATATAAAAAAAAAAAAATTTTTTTTCTTTAAAACAGGTATATAAAAGAATTCTATAAAAGCTTTGTAAGCTTTATGAAAAGTAGTACTATTTTACTTAGCCACAGTATTACCGTGCCATATTATTTTACCCAATGGAATCTCTTCTATACTAAATATAAGTAATAGTTATATCCTGGGCAGTTGGGTATAAGCAGGGCTAAAAGTTCCACTTATACACATAGTGCCCAGGGTATAACTGATTTATGTCCTGCGATCTTGATATAGTGACTAGGGTATAATTAACTATAACTAATAATATAATAATAATAAAATAAAAACTATCCCTTAAACTGTAGACAATTCTAGGCAAATTTGCCTGGAAAATTGCTATAAATTTGTTTATGATTTACTTTT